AATTTCATTTCTACAATGATTTTCACACCTAATGCCTAACCTATGTTATTAGTTTGTTGATTGCAGGAGACTTTTCTAAAAACCTGTGTTATTGAATTATATATATATATATATATATATATATATATATATATATATATATATATAATTCAATGTATACAGGATTTGATTTGAAGAAAGAAGATCAATTAACATACATCTGCAATTAACATTTCAACAATACAATCAAAATAGGCTAAAGAAATGAGGTGTGAGATATCTTGATGCAAATTTGGTGAATAAAAACAAAGGCAAAACTAGAGAGATGCATGTGCTCACACAATATATTTATGAAGTATCATTTCTTGAGCCTGCAAAATGTATTCCAAGTTTATTGTGCAATTATCAGATTAATGCATCCCGACCCAAACAAATGCCATGTTCTTGTCGCCAACACTATATCAATACTGATTCAGTTCATTGAATCATAAAAGATTCATCACGATCACAACAATGATGTGTTAAAAACCTGATTTCATGGATGGAGTTTTTCTGAAAGTTTGGTAAGACTTGATATCTCATTAGTCTTTGTTTATCGAGTGAATTATTCTAAAATCTAATCAAGTATTATCGTGTCACTTCAATCCACTTTAATTAATTAATATAGAAATTTAAATTTTTTTTTTTAGAGAAGTCGACTTAGATGATTTATTGTGTGTGTCACAATTTGTAACAATATATTTCTTATCACTTAATATTTTATAAATTTAAAATTATTCATATATCTATAGAGAAGGAAATAGAAATTTTGCAAGTAACTCTACCTATTGAGCTTTTGCAGACTCTGATGAGAGTGAAAATTTCTGTAATCATTACATAAAATTATATATATATATATATATATATATATATATATTACGGAAGTAATAATGCTAAATTACTCCAACCATTAAAAGCCCATGGAAGCCCATGACAACCCAATATATGCGAGTCCGAACTAACCGTAGTGGTGGGAGCGAGAGAGAGCGAGAGTGACTGAGCGGATGGATGCAGTTGGTGTGCTTGCAATATGCCCCTGCGTTCTATCCGAAACCCCTCTATCTCGGGGGAAGAATGGAGCCGCTGCCGCCCATGGCCGAGCCCACAGCCTCTCTTTCCGATCATATCGCCATCTTGCCGCCTTCCAACCCTCTCCCTTCCTCGCCCTTTCCTCCTCTTGCCGTCACGCAGGCACAGTTCGCGCTCGGAGGACCAAAACTCGCATATTCCTGCCACACCTTGTCGCTGCCATGGTTTGAGCTCTCCTTCCCTCTCATGCCCATCCAGGAGTGATCAAAATCTTGTCTTTCAAGCGTAGTCGTTCTTGATTTCGTGTTCGAAGTCAGGAAGGGACATAAAGCATGCCTTTCGACTGCTCTTTTCTCCTTTTTTGGGTGCAGGAAGGGGTTGAGGAGACTTACATCATGATAAAGCCCGATGGTGTACAACGTGGGCTGGTAAGACCTTTTTATGCTTTTCCTTCTCCATACTTTATGCTTCCTTTCTGCTTGATATGTTCTATTTCTTGTTTGGTTCATGGTTGTTTTGGTAAATGGCAAAGGTTGGGGAAATCATTTCCCGCTTTGAGAAGAAGGGATTTTTGCTCAAAGGTTTGAAGCTTTTCCAGTGTCCAAAAGAGTTAGCTGAGGTTCGCTTTCTGGCTTGCTTTCAGCTTCATGATTTGCATTTCTCTGGTTTATTTTTCTATTTCATGTTACTGTTGGAAAAAATTACCATGCACAGGGTGAACTACGATATTATTTGTTCAATAAGGATAGAATGTTATTTTTTTTAAATTATGTCAGATTACTGACTATAATGTGCACATATATGTCACATTATTTTGACTTCAGTGTTGAAGGACCATCATTTAGTATTACAGATGCTTCATGTAAAGCTGGTCCATTTGCTTATTTTGTTTTTCTGTGGAAGTAATCTAGACATTTTTTCTTAACCTAAGCCACTAATTACTTCATAAATCCAATCAGTATGTTTGTTAATACTAGATAAGCAACAACTTACTTTGAACTTTTTTCTTAAGCTATTCCAATAAATAATTTATCAAATATGTTATCATAATATTTGCTACTTGTTTATGTTTTTCTTTTCAAGATTTTGCACATTTTCACCATTTAATGTTGCTAGTATGATTGTATATCGTACTGTTATACTTTGATCTTATGGCATTAACCTCACTAGTGACACATGTTATCATATTGATCAGAGCTAATCTGCAAAATGTTTATGCACATAAAACCATCGCTCTTTTATTACTCAAAATTAGTAAGAGAATTGAAGAAATGTGCACAGCTTGGCACAAATACATCCGAGTCTTACGATTTGATAGCATAGCTAAGAGGGTGATAATGATTAAGCAAATTATGATAGTAAATCCACTTGCTGAAATGTTCCTTACTGGGAACCTAGATGAGGAGTAGCATTTGTCATTGAAAAAGAACAAGAGATATAAGGAAAGAAATTACTACTAATCTTCTTAGCTCCACAAAATCCTACGGAAGGTGGACTCTTGAACTCTCAAATATGTGATTTTTAATTGGTAAACAATATGCTGTAACAATGTTGGGGCTTTTAGATAACAGCTGAACTCAATAAGTATTCAGAAGAGTAGTTAGAATATCTAGGAAATTAAGGATAATCTCTTTCCCGAAATAAAAAATAGAAATTAATTCCTACTGTTGTTTTTACTAAGGACCAAGTAGCTCTTCACTATTCTCTATAGATAGGAGTCAGTGGATGCCATTCAGGCCATCATCTTGCTCAGTCATGGTCTTGCAGGGCATGTGTTTTGGTTTGGTGACTGATGTGATCTTAATTTTTTCATCATACATATGGCTTTGTGTGATGTTGAATGTCCAAATGAATGTTGATGTGACAAATTCTAGATGATTTCATCTTGTTGCATTCGACACTGAATTAATGATAATGAACCATTGATCATCTGGTCAAATCATCAAAGAATTATCACAGTATGTAAATTATCTCCCTGGAAAGGACTAATATGGATATCTGTAAGTGCAACCCTTTGTATAGTGATCATTGAATTAGTCCCAAAAAGGAATTTTCAGCATTGTATAAATTAGCGAAACAGGGTTTTATAAGGTGTTGGGATGCTCACAAATGTGAAATAATTAAAGTTACATGTTTTTTCCTGTAGTTGATAGGTAGCTGTTCTTTTTTCTCCAAAAAAGAATGCAAAATAGAAAAATAAAAATAAAAGTTATTTGTGATTATGATTTGTGGATTGTTCCTTTCCATAGGCATGCAAATAAAGAGATATTTAGAAGCAGAAGCTTTTTTAATCAAAATAAAATAACTGATGAACTTATGACTTATTTGATTAACTAAGTGCTCTAGAAAGCATTTATACTATATTGGCTGAAGCAAAGCACTCCTGTGTCAACCATCTCGATTGTGTCAATAAGGTGCTGGCATGGATTCGCATGCCCTAAAGGTATTATACAAAACCTAAGAAACTATAGTTAGCTTGTGTTGTCACACCTCCTTTTAGCATGAAGGTATATTAGAAAAAAGGAGCTTTCATAAGGCATTTATGGTTCACACTAAATACTAATTAATTAAAGGCACTACATCACCTATTCCACTCACCAAAATACCAAAAAATACATTAAATAGAATGCATATGTTGAAAGCAACATATTCTAAAAATGAGATAAAAACACAAAAACAAGTAGGTAAAGTATGCTATGGTTGAATAAAAAATTGTATTCAAGTATGGTGAACTTATGCATTCTTGTTTAGTAACTTGTAATACAAAGTAACTAAAGTCTAAGAAACTAATGTATTGTTAAATATAGGTATGATAGCATGATAACAATCATATGGTACAAATAATTGATTCTACATATGATATTTGACCAACAAGTTGTTATTAGCTTTTTCTTGACCTCTTTTCCTTCTGGGGCATTTGTTCTCACACAAAACTATTTTAACAAATTATGACATAGAATGTTAACATAATGATAGTTTCAAGTTAGCAAAGCAACTAGAGAGATCATTAGAGGGGCATCTGAGATAATGTAAGAGTTAAGTAGATGATTATGACAAATGTGATGATTTGTAAAATTATGTTGAAAAAGAGGGGCATCTGAGATACTCACACTCTGATTCATGTTAAAATTATGTTGAAAAAGAGGGGCATCTGAGATGATTATGACAAATGTGATGATTTGTAAAATTATGTTGAAAAAGAGGGGCATCTCAGAGGGGCATCTGAGATACTCACACTCTGATTCATGTAAAATTATGTTGAAAAAGAGGGGCATCATTAGAGGGGCATCTGAGATACTCACACTCTGAATATTTGTAAAATTATGTTGAAAAAGAGGTACAACACTTGGATTTTTTAACAAAGATTCATGTACCTGCGATTTTCTCAGAGTGTGAGTTACGTATCGAACCGTGGCAATTCATACCATACCCCAATACAAAGTCAGTTCTAATATCACAAACTAAGTCGGCTCCCTAGTGTTAGAGCCAAGAATATTGGGAAATGATGTCAATTGTCATGCAATTATACAAATTAACTCGTACATCGAGAAAATCACACCATGAAACTTCTATTCAAGAATCTAATTATAAAGAGCTATACATTTTTTATTCAATATAATTTCACAAATATTCATCACATTTATTGTAACAAATAATCAGCATAGCTCTCACATCATCTTGAACACCTCCAATAGTCACTTCAGATCTTTTGTCAAGTTGAAACTATTACCATGCTAACAGTCTACACTCCACCAGAATTCATGAAGGTGGTTTTGGATAAGCAGGAATGTTTGATAGGGAAACAAACAAAGTATGGAAAAGCTAATAACAACATATTGGTTAAATATCATATGTAGAATCAGCTGTGCAAATGAATTATCAAGGATAGTGTGCAGATGATAAGAATGTATGCAGTATGCATGTATGTAATATTATTCATAAATACAATCAGTCATACATATGCATCTCATCAAGCATTGACATACAAATGAGACGTCTGATGGTTACTTCTTCCAGAACAACTGATGTAGAAAAACCATATAATATGTCTCATGATTGTCGCATGCGTTAATACAATATAATATACAAAATCCAATTATGCATTCACATCATCATCAACAATATCCCGATGTAGTCGAACACTTGATAGTGCACTCTCAAATAGTTGATAGAGCATGACTCTAATGGGATGAGTTCTTTATCTCCCAACAGCTGATGGAGAGAACTCATATTACACTCCCATAACATTGATGGAGTGGTGCCCCTCATCCATCGTGTTAGGACATGTTCCTCCCAATGGTTAGTGGAGGAATTATCTAGCTATCATGTCTAGCAGCCCATTAGATCTCGAAGGGAATGATTTTACCATAATACTATACTAGCCTTTCTATGACAAGAGCCAAGAACAAGAACAGTACTCAGAAGTTATATCATTATTTATTATATCATTTTCATACTAACGCTCAATTCATGCTAGTGAATCATGCATAGTGAATAGTGTAGGGATTCAATCCAATAAGTACTATTCAATCCATTATGGGCTTGTACCTCCTGCCATATGGAGCAAAACCACATGGAGAGCACAAGCCTAAAATATGCATATGCAAGGTAACATCAAAATACATTAATAGATACTAAGAAAATATGATCATGCAAGATGAATAAATCGTTATATGTCAAAAAAGTGTCAAAAGTATCACAATGAATCGATGCATATTATCTGGCATGTCAGACAGCCCAATGACGACTCTATACCATGATGTGACCACAGTGCCTTTCACGGATAGTCCTTTCCCCTTTGAGGACTTACTAAACCAATATATTATCAAATCAATAAAACTCAATAGATCAATGAACATGGTCAATTAGCAATGCATGATTTATATTTGATCCAATTTGACAAAAACACTTTTTAGATAATCATTCATATTCGAAAGAAAAATTCGATGGGAATACTTATGGTGGTCATATCTCAATTTTCATATAATGCTTTAAGATTTTCTTGACCTTTCAATGGTTTGAGAGAGAGGTGCAGAATCTTTTGATGATCATTCATATTCAAAAGAATAATTTGATGGGAATACTTTTGGTGGTTAGATCTCCCAGGCGACAATACGGCAGGAGAGAGGGCAGAAGATGATGAGCATTATCTCTTCCCTATGTGCGCTTTGAGTATGTTACTCGTATGGAGCCACCGTCGTTGAGTCCATGACATAGCCAGTATCGGTATTCCGAGCCGTCCATGGTCTTGTGTCCAGTGTCCTATTCGTTCTCCTTGTTAATATCCTATCCACGTTCAGTTGATATCCTCTTTGCATATCATGATATGTATATTATGATATCATGTTTTTACCTTATGAAATACATTTAAGATTGATCTAAGAGAAGGCACGTGAAAAGGGCTAACCCTTTACACCTGACCAAGAAACCCATTGGCTGCATGTATTCTTGTAGGGTTTCATTGTTAAAGATCTTAGAATGGCTAGAGATTTTCCCATGTTTTTTTCCTTAGACATAGATGATAAAATTGTGTCTAAGTTAGAAATCTGGAAATCATTTAGTTAACCTTAGATAAAAGATCCGAGGATAACATGCGTTCTAGTAATTTTTTTTTAACTAAATCTTTGTCCATTTGGAATAGGATGCTTATTTCCTGCACTCTCTCTCTCTCTCTCTCTCTCTCTATTTTTCTCCCTTTCACTGTGGAAATATGAATGCATATATAACCACTTATATATATGAGTCTGTATGTCTGTGCAAACAGCCAAATGCATTACTAGCATTTGGAGCAACCAGAGGAGAATGATCTTGTTCCTTAATAACTAATGTCATTTTTTATGTTATTTTAATGAACAGGAGCATTATAAGGATCTTAAAGACAAATCTTTCTATCCTAAGCTGATTGATTATATCACTTCAGGCCCAGTTGTTTGTATGGTATGCTTTCTAACATTACGGACTATATAATTTTCAACAGGTAGATAATTGTTTTCAGTTCTTAATAAATTTCTTCTTTTCTTTTCTTTAGGCATGGGAGGGTGTTGGTGTTGTTGCATCATCTCGTAAACTTATAGGAGCAACAAATCCTCTTCAAGCTGAACCAGGAACCATACGAGGTGACCTGGCAGTTCAAACAGGAAGGTTGGCCACTTGATTTCTAACCTCTGAAAGTTTCAGATTTATTTGCAATTTGTTACGTTGTCTTTTGCATCACTACTAGGATTATTTGATTCCTTTGGCAGAAATGTTGTGCATGGAAGTGATAGCCCTGAGAATGGCCATCGTGAAATTGGTAAGTTATGCAACACCTTGTTAGCCATATAAATTTTACATGGAAACAGAATTTCTCCTTTTGTAGGAAAAACTATTTAGTTTCTATTTTCTGGCCTCTGGATTTGGGCTGGATAGGCAGAGTGGACTTTATCACTTAGACACAGAAATCATTTTATGTATCTTTAAAAACATTTCTCACTCTGGAACATCTAGATAACAATCTGGTGGCGGAAACATTTTTTTCCAGTCTAAACAAAATCTCTGACTAATTTTTTTGGATAATTAACCAAAGTTTTACTTTAATCAAGAACATCTTCTTGATTTAGTATCTTGGCCAAGCTTTCAAATCCCAATCACACCATCTAGTATGGTTAACAACTGGTTCCACAAGAGACTGGCAAAAAGGCTGGACGATTTCATTCAGTTCGGTCTGGGATAAACTGTACCATCCAGTAAGATCACTGTACCGAGCCTATTGGGTGGTAAAGAATGCAGTACAAAAGGGTCCTGGACAGTAGGTCTATCATCCAGTACTGTTAACCTTTTTTTTTTATTTTGGACAGCTGCAACAGCTGTCATTCATATCTTTTTTTCTCTCTTTTTCTCCATCTCACATCTCCCCGACGTTCTCTCTTTCCTTACTCCACATCCTCCTCATTGATGCTGCCGCGTTCTAATCATCGCTACATTGGTGCCTTCTCTCCACCATGTCATCACCATCGCAGCCATCACCTCCTATTGATACGCATTGCCACCTCTTCCATCTTTAGCTTCTAAGCATGGAAGCATACTGACACATGCTATGCCCAGCCATATCAATTAGCACAATAGAATATCAACACATGATACACCCAACTGTACCGGTATCTTACTGGTCCAAAACCTTGATTCTGACATTGACCTGGGTATCTTGGTTATTTGACTCAACTTGTAGAGTGTCCATTAACTTCATTAACTCTGCTAATTTGTTTCATAACTTGCATTGTATCGATATTGAGTCTAGACTTAAATCAAATTATTGCACACACATCGTGGCAGTTTTTTGGACTGTTTTGTTAATTGCTTGGTACTTGCATAGGGCCCGGTGGATTATGAGTAGCAACTTTTTGTTGTGTTATGGAGTTTGGAAATGTAGCAACATGCAAATTGCCACAATAAAAAAAAGGATATAGTTGCAATTGAACAATTTGGATTACTTAGCACAAGATTCCATGAATCCTTGAAAAGAGTGTATCATCTTTTGAGATGAGAATACAACAAGATGCATATAGCTGAGCAATTTGATGACAAGTGATGAAAACTTGGATACCGGATAGAATGATTCAATAACTAGTTGGTTTTGTTAATCAAGACTAATAAATGGGCCTGCATTTTGACTCCTTGATTTTAGTTGATATCCACACCAACAGTAATAGAGTGAGTTTAAACACCGCAATTGCTGATGCATCTGGATAGCAAAATTATGGTTATGTCGTTCACATTGATGATTGCATCTAATCCTTGTATCACGTCCTCTACAGATCTATGGTTTAAAGAAGGTGAATTATGTCACTGGGTACCAGCTCAAGCACCTTGGCTGAGGGAGTAAATTTCCACCATTATTTCAAAAATTCTTATGATTGGCGGCTTACTTTGCTGCCATGTTTTCTGAGTTCTCGTTATTCTGTTGATTGCGGCGTGTGCCATCGGGTCACACAGGTTACTTGATGAGGCTATGAACCATTATTACTTTGAGCTGACTGCCAGAATTGAAATCATTACGAACGACGTTTGCCTTAACAACGTATCATTTTATTGGTTGAGAGAAGTGGTTTGTGGTCGCAGCATGAAAACATTTTGACATTTTTTTAAATTTCCATGTAATGCAAGCGTTGGCCTTTCGTCTATATTGGTTTGCGATCACCTTTTCTGTAACATTTATCATCTATTCTACATCTGGTTGGTTAGTCTCTCCGAGGAAGCCTTGTATTACTTTGTCGTTGGTCATATCGATTCTTGCAAGCAATTGGCATCAGTACATCTCATCTCATGTGGGAGCGACACGAAGTTGGGTTGTTTGATGATGCCACGGTTAATATCAAGGTTTAACTAACATCTGGTCACTTGATCAAATACTTCGGTTGTGCGTCTTCGGGTTCAATTCCAACAAGTCTGAGTTGGAATGTTTTGTACATCCGTTATCCTTTCATCCTTTGGGGCAAGTTGTTTCTCCCAAGTGGGGTCTGATCTGAAGTGATACTTGAAGGAAAAATCCGATTTCTTGGAAAAATTATGCCAAGACAAAATTGATACTTTGTCGAACAACCAACAGTTTCCCTGTGAAATATTTCAGAAAGTTTACAACTATTCCACAATAATGTGTTTTAATGGGTATCCATAATCATAATAAATTTGTATAAAGAAACATCAATTTAACATCACCCTCAAACGTGTTCAACCAAGTGCGATGTCCATTTGAAGCTTTAGCAGAGGATGTAAACAGCCTTGGTAGTGCCTTCGATAAGAACATCCATTTCGGAATACATAGCTAATGAAGTCCTATTTTCGCAATATTCTTCTAAAAAAGCCATGTTTATTTGCTTTCAGATCCTCGGCTGCAATTTTACAAAGACCACCCTATTAAACCAGTAATTGGAAGAATCTCTTCGAGTCAAATTCAATACAAACAAAGACTACAAGCTTCGTTTTAGGTAGGGAAGTTTAGAAGAGTATGTGTTAGTTCTTCATAAAATCACCTTTGAGCCTTCCAGCTTTGTAAAGAACTTCTTCCGCAATTGGCCTCCACTGTTCAGCACACGAGCAGTAGATTCTCATCCCCACACTAAGTCCTCTCAACAGCTGCATTGTCCGGAGAACAGAAAATAGTTCCTCCGGGAACCTCTATTGCAGATAGACAGGTCATATTAGTAGTGTCATAAAAAGACAACTTGGAACAAGAAATTTCAGGCAGCACAGAAAGCTAACATCCTCTATCTGGCAAAAAAGACAACCTCCTAGACACTTCCAGTCAAAGTAGGCCCCGTATTAGAGATCCCTCAGAAAAACAAGGAAGGCCACTGCTGTCAAAGAATGCCAAGCAATCTAAACCTACAGCCCAGCCGATTTGCCTGTAACTTCCTTAACAAGAAAAAAGCTTATAAAGGCATAAGTTGGCACTTGTGAGCATGCCAAATGTTTAAGTGGAAAAGATGGACACCATAGCATCCTCAATTGCATATATCTTGACAAATTTCCTAAAATAATGTAATTTAATACGACTGTATGTCATTCCATCGGTCATCTTGTGGTTATAAGCATTTCATAATATGGGATTTAGCAAATATTTATGTTACAATGCACTTTAGACTTTTTATCCAAACTAAGATGCTGGAATGCATTTTTTTTCTAATTTTTAATATTTTACCCTTTTGTCTGACTTGTGATTTTACATTTTAGATGTTATTTTCCCTCTAGTTTTTATCTATGATATATTGCTAGCCGTTCTTTATAGATTAAATTGTTTGTCATATCAGATACTGTATTATTTTATGGCTAAATTATCATTATCATGCTTATACTATCAATAAAATTTTAAGTATTTTTTAAATCAGTTACAATTGTCTTAACATCATCTAACATAAATTGTACCTAACAGGATGCTGAGTTGTTGTAATACTCAGCATGGAAAAAAATGCTTGTAGTAAACTAAGGATAGGCTCACAATTTAGTGTGCTCATTTGTCACTTGATTTGACAATTAAACTACCATGTTATCATTTTAATGCATGCAAGTATTTCATCATGCTGACTCTAACAAAACATTCTATCAATAATTATAAATGAGAAATGATGGTACCAACAAGTTTGCTTTCTAAATTGAAAGAAGTTGAAGTTAGGGATGAGCTTCAAGTTTGCTTATTGTTTAAGCCTTTAAGGACCCTTTGATTAATTTAGCATACAGAAGTTTACACTACTCTGAGGATGCATGTTATCTTGCAATTTTTTAAAGGTTTTAAACTTCATAATTTTTAAATTTTACACATGGATAACTTTACTCAATCTTTGCTCTAATTCTATTCTACCAATTTGTCTTTGTTATTATATCAAATTATCAATATGATTTATTACATGCATTTATACTAACTACAGTTAAATTACACAAATTTCAAAGTACCATTATATAACACAATGTAATATTTTTGAATTAAAAATAGTCATGCAAATACTTCTCAATTAGTATCCACTAAGCACTGTCCCCTGAATGCAAATCCTAGTTCTGTCCCTCTCAAAAACCATAATGGAATAATATAATTCCTAAAACAAAAATATAACAATGATCACACAAAATTGATGCAATCAAGTTGACTTATTCAGTGTTATCCTCAGTAAAAAAGGGTTCTAAAATGCATTATAGCTTATACTGGACACTAAAGGAGTTGCCAAATGCTCAATAACAAAACCAAGTAGGTCTAACTACAAATTACTTCAATCCTGAGTGAATAACAAATAACGGTTCTTTGATGACCACAATGTGCATAGATTACTAATTGTCCACAAACTAAACAAGATGTAAGCAACAAAATGTTCAAAAACATAGTCAAGTTATATCGAACTCACATTTTATTGAAAATAATGCCTTATCTATACTCTCCTACTTGGCATTAACTGCAGGTAATATTTCAACTTATAAGTTCATAGGCTCTAAAGATATGCTGGCCTTTATTAACAAAGTTCTTTATTAACAACATAACATTCTTTATATGTTATGGCATACATACTATATCAATATATACCTATAGATCTCAATTGAACCAGTCAGCATGGACCGATAGGAAGTCTGACGGTTGCAGCCCTCTAGGCTTACTGTTCTGAACTTCCCAGAAGGTAAGACAACCAATACCAAGCTGCACCCTAATGGTATGCTACTGGCAGATATTTTAATAGCATTTGACATCAATTACTATATATATATATATATATATATATATATATATATCTGTGAGAGAGAGAGAGAGAGAGTA